CGCACTCCCCACTATACTGCTCTACTCCGCATCCTTCGCTACCTCAAAGGCACTCTGTTCCATGGCCTTCACTTTTCTGCTTCCTCCTCTCTTGAACTGCGTGCCTTTTCCGATGCTGATTGGGCTGGGGATCCTACGGATCGACGCTCTACCACGAGTTTCTGCTTCTTCTTAGGGGATTCTCTTCTTGCTTGGCGTAGCAAAAAACAATCCCTCACTGCCTGCTCTAGCACCGAAGCTGAATACCGAGCTCTTGCTGATACTACTCAGGAACTTCTCTGGCTTCGCTGGCTCCTTGCTGATATGGATGTTTCTTCTTCTGGTCCTATCCCTCTCTATTGTGACAATCAGAGTGCCATTCAGATTGCTCACAATGATGTTTTTCATGATCGCACAAAACATATTGAGATTGATTGTCATTTCATTCGCCAGCATGTTACCTGTGGTACTGTTCATTTTCTCCCTATTGCTTCAGTCGATCAACCTGCTGATATCTTCACTAAAGCTCATCCTCCTGGCCGCTTCCATGATCTTGTTTCCAAACTCAACTTGGTTGATGCTTTCCCTCCTTGAGTTTGCGGGGGGATGTTAGTATATTATTGTATATTAGTGATGTTAGTATATTAGTGTTAGTATCTTTAGTATATTATGTACATCTAGTAGTGTTAGTCATAATTGTTAGTGTATCATTATGTCTAGCTTTCATAATGAGTGTTCCCCCTTTGCTTTATGCTTTCGGTGCTAATTGGCACCCTATGTATCTTTTCCTCTCTATAAAAGAGAGTGTACATCTCCTTGTAAGACATACAATAACTGAATAATTCAGTGTCTCTTTCTCTCTCTCTCTATCCTCTATCACTCTCTCAAATTATTGTTTCACTCAGCTTCACAAAGTCGAAGGGAATAGTCTTCTGGAAAAGACTAAATTCGTAAGGGAGATAGAATGGGGCGGTAATACCGACTTCCAGAGAGTTTTCGATAGGATCTTGGAAGTTGCAGTTGCTGGGAATTTGAATGAAGATCAGATGATAAAGAAGGTCTTTGTTTTCAGTGACATGGAATTTGATCAAGCATCTGGGCATAGTAGATTTGGAAATGGGTATGGGTTTGGGTATGGGTACAATGGATATGGTAATTTCAATTCACATAACGATACAAGGCCAAAAGGGTGGGAGACGGATTATGAAGTGATACAGAGGAAGTTTAGCGAGAAAGGGTATAAGAAGGTACCGGAAATTGTGTTTTGGAACCTCAGGAGCTCCCTTGCTACTCCGGTGACAGCCAAGCAGAGTGGAGTGGCACTGGTTAGTGGCTATTCAAAAAACATGGTTACCGTATTCCTCAAAGAAGATGGGCTTGTCAACCCAAAGACGGTGATGGAACATGCCATTGCCGGTGAAGAGTACCAGAAACTAGTTGTATATGACTGAGTGATATGTCAAATTGTTCATTTTTCTTTTCAAGAATCCAAAGTGTAACTCTTTGGCTTTTTGTTTTCATTTGAGGTGAATGGCTGCTTATTTATGGACTTTGAATTTTAATGATCCCTGATGATCAGTTTGGTATTCTACTTTTCATTGATCACAAATTGCTGGTGGATTGTTGGAGTTTGGTTGATGAATTTCAATTTCGGTACTTTCAAATTGAGCACTCTAATTGTCATAGCATGATGTATCATCATAACATGAACTTCAAGATTAACTGCACAGGCTTGTTTGTTTGATTTAGTAACTGTGGTGGGGACAACTCTGCTATGAGCTTAGGAGGTCCATGATCCATCGAAAAAGCCTTAGCAAGTTTTTTGGCCTGTGTCATTTTGCTTGAGTTGTGTTGTGTCTCAGCAAATTACTGGGGTGAATTTGAGTAGGATGATATATTACTATTTCTTTGTGGCAAGGCTACTTGATCAAGTGTGTCACATTATTAAAATTTTAAAATGAGACCTGTTGTTTTTCATTTGTTTTTGGAAATTTCTCCCTAATCTCATCATCTATGTGACAATGGGTCTGCATTTGATGATCAGTCATTGCGAAGTTTCATTTACTTGAGAGTGATTTGTTACAATCTCGTTCATGAATTTGTTTCCTACCATCCAAGTTTTTACTTAGCTCAAGGAAAAAAATCACTGGTTTGATTTTAAGATTCATTAATATAATATAACCCTTAATTTCCTGCACTTCATGATTCACACTGATAGAATGAATCTTTTTTTGTGTCTCAATTTCATTATTATTTGACTTGGTTCTTTCCATGTGTTTGTCATCAATATTTATAATCACTTTTCTTTTCTTTTTGGTATAATTTGTTTCTACTCATAATATGAGTAACTCTGCTGGGGTTGCTTAACAACTCCGTCGGTCCCAAGCCCGAATGAAAGAGGAGAGTTGTGTATTAGTTAGCCGACAGTCAACACGTAAAAAAATCCATTCGAATCCTTTATGAGTCGAGTGGAGAAAAAGATTCATACAATCAACCCCATTTAATGAGGGTTAAGACTTGATTTAGTTTGGTTTATTCATGATATGAGTACTTCAGTATATAACTTATTTCTATTTTGCTTTTAGTTTTCGTAATGTTTTCCCTGTTTGTCTGTTCTGTAATTGCATTTTTTTATTCATTTATGAAATCATTTTACTGTGATAGAAGGAGAAAATAAGGAATGTGTCTTACAACAAAATAATAGACTTATTGGATAATCCAAAAGTTCTCACAAATCGTCTTTCAGCATCACAGGGCCATCATTTTTTTAAAAATTTTATTTTTTTAGTTTTGGGGGCTGAAAGAGAAGAAAACATACAGGAATTGGTGGAGAGGAAGAGGAAGGAATCTCCTCATATTTTTTTTTAATATTTTTTTTTGTGATCTTAATCACAGATTTGTTGGGTGATTTGTTGCTGATTTTATGGTGATTGGTGATTTGTTTTTTTTTTAGATGGAATAACAAAACATCAAAAAGAACCAAAAAGATTTTATGGTGATTGGCGATTTGTTTCTTTGCTAAAATTAATCGGATTATTTCCCATCTTTGCCGTGAAATAAGCTCATCTCTATATCTCATCTCTTCATATTTATGCATTTTAATTCAGCCCTATATTGATGATTCAAACCGTCTATCTCGTAGGTGGTTTGAATCATCCGTGCGAGTCCGAATTAAAACCCATAAGAAGAGTATGGAAAGGTATGATGGGAAGCTTATCTCATTTATCATATTAGGTATCATATTATGTATGCCTATTTTCCTATTTGTCCTAGTAGTAACCAATAGAAAACAAAATTAAAAAAAATAAATAAAAATAATTTTAGAGATTAAAAGATAAAAAATAAACAAAAAAATAAAAAGCAATTATTTGAAGAACAATTTTGAATCAGTTGTACATAACACATATTTTAAAATTTAAAAAGAAAATAGTTTTAGAGATTAAAAGACAAAAAATAAAAAATAAAATAAAAAGCAAATTATTGGAAGAACAATTTTGAATCAGTTGTACAAAACACATATTTTAAATTTAAAAAAAAAAATAGTTTTAGAGATTAAAAGACAAATTAACAAAAATAAAAAATAACAAGCAAATTACTTGAAGAACAATTTTGAATCAGTTGTCCATATTTTTTGCTTATGTGAATGCTAAATGAATGATTGCAGCAAACTCACTAAAAAAAAAAAAAAAAGGGATTGCTGAGGTCAAGTGTTTTGTTTTTTGAGTTTTCAAATAACTTTAGGCAACAATGCTGGTTTGAGTAAGGGAAGGCTTATAAGAGTAATTGGTGTCTTTTATCCAACCGACGTGGGACAAGTTAGAATATTATGGTAATAGAGTTCTTTTTTTCTGCACTTTTTAGCATCTCTCGCAACTGAAAGTCATACATAGACCTTAAAAAAGAGAACAATACAATAAAGCAATAAACAAGGTAAATGGTAAATAGAAAATGAGGCAATCATATGAATCAATAGTTGCTATTTTCATCACCATAAATTCTTTTACTAATCAATCAGAATATGATTTTAATCGCAAATGAAATAGCCATGCATATTCTTTAGATTGTTGGAGTTCAATTGGTCAAGAACCATATAACCATTTCAATTGCTTGTGAACAAAACTACCCACTTGTCCAGAGGTCTGCTTGAAATCAATGGAAGCTGATGTAAAATAATATGTTTTATTCATGTTAAAATATGTTAGTATTATATGTTAGTGATGCTAGTGGTATCATTATGTTTAGTACAGCATTATGTTAGCTTTAATAATTATCCTTGCTTTATGCTTTCGGTGCCTCAATTGGCACCCAATGTTGGTTTTCTCCTCTCTATAAAGAGAGTGTAAATCTCTTTGTAAATATACAGAATATCAATACATAAATCAATCAATAATACATAAATTCTTACAATTCAAATATACAATATTCTCAAAGAAGCTGCATTTCATTGAAAGAACTGTTCAAATTTTCAGGAATATATCTACCCAGAATACCACCTTTCGCATTATCCAGTTTCGTTATTATTTTTTTATAAGTCATCCAAAAATGGAGCAAGGCTTCGTAAATGTTGCCCTCCCTAAATCTCGCTTTAACAGAAATCTCGTACACTGGCTATTATTTTAAAGATCAAGTTTCTTGATAGTTTGTATTTTTGGTACATGAGACAGTTTCTTCTTACTTGCGAGTTTGAAGTACAACTGGATTATGTAATTGAAACCAGCTCCCCTATGCCACCCAATCAAATAAAAAGGGTTTGTAATGACATTTTAATTTATTTTTTTTTTAACTAAAATTGTGAGTTGCCAAAATAGCCTTAATCCCTGGCGTGAAAAAGCGATCAATTCTAGAATATGGAAAACAAAGATGGGTCACTGCAAAAAAAAAAAAAAAAAAAAAAAAAAAGCCTCTGCAATAGGGAAGAAGGATCGTTAATGCACTCTGTGCATTTTCTATGTTCTATTTCAATGACCTAAGCATTGTTGAAATACAAATCAATAATGGTAGGTGTACAAAAATAAATTACAATGAAGTACATATAAAGTGTACCATGTAGTTAAAAATTATTTTAGATATAATGTGAGTCACATTTAAAATTATTTTTAATCACACATTGCACTTTTGGTACATTTTTTGTGTTTTATTTTTGTGAGACATGTTATAATATTTAAACACAATATTTTTTTATATTTAAATATTTTTTTAAATATAAGAAATCAAATCAAAGATTCTTTTCGAGTTAATTTTATGTTATAAACTTTAAACTTATGGGTGGAGTTATAAGAATTTATTTTGTATTACCGTTAGTTTTCAAAAGAAGATGTTTAATTTTCAACTCTATAACTTTATATATATATTTATATACATTAAAGCCTTCAAGTTTGTGATTATTTCATGTAACGCTCTTCGTTATTATATTGCCGTTGTTATCTTGATTGTGCGAACCTGTAGCTTTCTTCTCCAACATATGTAGTGAATGTCTTCTATTGTGTGTGTACACACAAAAGCCAAATCTAAGAGCCTTGTCAATTTGCTTCTCTACTCGTAAGTCTTATCACAATTACTTATATATATATATATATATACATCATTATATTATTATTATTGTTATTATTTTGAGTAATTTAATTCGTGCTTTGATTCAAACTTTTTGGTATTTGTGAGCACTAGAAGATGATTACTGTAAGAGTTTTTTAATTGAATAATGTTTGGTAGCTCGAGAGTTTACCCCCCCTCCCGAATCCCCCTAATGCCCAAACGGCGTCGTTTTGGGCATTAGCTTCTTTTTTTTTCCCTTCCATTTTCGAGTCTGCAAAGGGAGAGAAAGAGAAGAGAGAAAGAGAAGAGAGGGGAAGAAGAGGAGAGAGGGAGGGAGAAAGCTCGCCGCCGATCGCCGCGTGTGCCTCCGCCGCCGCCGATCGTCGCAGCAGCAGCTCGTCGCCTCCGCCCCCCGCCTCCTCCTCCTCCTCCTCCTCTTCCTCCTCCTCCCTTCTCCTTCTTCTTCTCTGATCTTCCTTCTTCTTCTGCAAAAAAAATAAAAAAAATAAAACAAAAAAATAAAAATAAAAACGGCGTCGTTTAGGGTTTAGGGGGATTCGGGGGTAGCTTTCACTAAAACAAAAAGTACAATCGGCGACTAAAATATCTTTTTTTTGTCCCGGAAAGTACTGTTTTTGGCGACTAAAATGGAATTAGTCGCCAAAGTTGATCAGTTTTGCCGACTAAAAGAGTTTAGTCGCCGAATATAATGGTTTTAGCGACTAAAAGGCAGTTTAGTCGCCAAATGTAGCGTTTTTTTCGACTACAGGTTGTTCAGTAGCCAAAAGTGACGGTTTTTGGCGACTAAAATAATTTAGTAGCCAAAAGTGATGGTTTTGGCGACTAAAAAACAGCTTAGTCGCTGATTATAGCTATTTTGCGGACTAAAATCTGTTTGGTCGCTGAAAGGTCAAGAATTGCCGGCTAAATTGCACTTTAGTCGCCCAAAGTAGAGGTTTTGGCGACTAAAATTCAGTTTAGTCGCCAAAAGTGCTATCCTTAGGCGGGATTTAATTCTATTAGCGACAGAATACAAATT